GAATTAAGATAATTTGCATCTCATGTATCAGGATTATAGGTTAATTAGTTGTATGATCAAACATTATTTCGAATGCTTTTTACTTTCAAATAACACATTTCATTCTCTACTTTCCTTATCTACATATCTTCGATTTTGTGTCATAAAAAATCAACAATATACTATTACACATATAGTTTGGCGATTTTCATCCATATTAATACTTTTCTGATCTATGCATCTTCTCCTTCTTAAATCTCAATGGTGATATGCCGCCGCCATAACCTTCTTCCCATCAACCATCCACCATCTCCGCGACATCTCTTACAGTACATTCCAAATCTTTTAGCAGTCACACCAAGAACACTTCCAAGATAAACAACCAAAGGTGACCGGATTCTTTCTGGAGCTCTAACGAACGAGAGATTTTCTCTCCTCTATTAATGAAGAAGAACAAGTATTGAACAAAAAGATCTCGATCGTGATAGAGAAAAACTTGTTTTCTAGTTGATCTGACCATATTGTGATGACTCGTTGATTTGATACACTTACGTGGGTTTGAGTGAATATGAGTTAGCGGTGATAATTCAGTGCTCCGATGAACGGAGACGTATCGACGAGGAGAACTAGTTTTATTAAACACAAAAGATATGATATTATCGATAACTAATTTTTTATCTGCTATTGTACATGGTATATGCATATTATTGAATTTGGCACACTAACTAAGACATACATAAGTTCAATTATAAAATATCTAACAATACAAATTACCGACAAATAGTTTTTGTATCTAATATTATATTAGCGAACTAATAATGAATTTAGAAGACTAGTTCAAAATCTAAAGATACAGTTTTGTACTTATAACTTTGGTAGCTTTTCAAAATTTATAGTATTGTTACCAGCTTCTCAAAATTTATAGCGTTTTTACCAGCTATACAAAATTACTGTCAGCAAGCCAATTTTTTTTTTCTAAGTAACAAATAAGGTAAATATTTGTTCAATACCTTAATATTTAACAATAAATATTACTGATAAATTAATTGGTATCCGCTATAACAAATATTATCATTCTAAAAAAAGAATTAACTAGCAAATTCTTTTTACTAAGTAATATATAGAATATAAATTTATTTGGTCATTAAACATCTAACAATATATATTACTCATACATAAATCGTTTATCTACTATTGTATATGCTAGCAAAATAACAATGAATTTAGATGACTAATTTTGAATTCAAAAATACTAACATAGGTACATATCATTTAACTATTGTTTACATATTATTTTCTGTTGATTCGGAGAGTTGAGTCGACTCAGGATTGTATGTATAGTTACTGTAGATGCATCAAGATTTGGATCAAGTATCAATGGAGGAACAAGATTTCTGAAGAAGATATGTGTCACTCAGGAGATTTCTGAAGAAGCTCTGTGTCACTCAAGATCCAACAAAGAAATCAAAGAGTTAAAGTCAACACGCTAGGTGGCGTGACAGGTGGCATCTCGAGCCATGGGAACGCAAGTGGGAAGCTTGCTGCAAAGAAGTGGTTCAACTAACAAGGAATTGACTTTGTGCAAAAGGTGAAGAAGCAAAAGTGAGTGGGCTACTTAGAGTGAAGTGACAAGTGAAACAGTGTCTCTGTCACAGTACAGTGGTTTGTCTGCTGGTCCATAGCATGTCTCTTCAGTTATGTTGGCAAATGGAAAACCAATATAACTGAGTGTTACAGCTTCGTTTTAGTTAGTTCTTCTTGCATAAAAAATAGTGTGAGAGAGAAAGATATTCGAAGAACTCAAAGAACTCAAACCCAGAAAAAGAGATTGGAGTATTGAGTGAAGAATAGAGGTTTCGCAACTGCTGTTGCATTACAGGCTTGGGTAGATTAGGAATATATTCAGGAGCAAATCACAGTGAGTGGTGTTGCGTAATTCTGGGTAGAATAGGATTGTTGAATCTGTTCTATAGAAGTATTCTTGTAATCTATCTGTTGCAGCAGGTGCTGTGTGTAGCAGTTGCTACGGCTTCGTAACTGTTGTTGCATTGCATTCTTGGGTAGATTAGGAACACGTTCTAAGTAGAATAGGATTGTGAATCTGTTCTATCAGACTGTTTGTGTAATTTTTCTGTTGCACGAGTTGTTTTGTAAAAACAGCTGTTGTGAATAGCAATAAAGATAGATTGTTTTATTGAAACTGCTCTGTGTTGTGCACTATATTTCTGTTCGTATCTTGTGCTAGGGTTCCTGTTTTTTCAT